TGGGATTTGGTGCTCAGCACTAATTGAAATGATTCTCACTCTTCTTTCCCCTTGATTTGATTGTGCTTTAGGAAAAAAAGAAGAGGAGTTGGAAGAATTTAAATGATTCCAAAGTACAAGAGCTGTTTTACTATGTTTGGAACTAGAATTCAGGGAAGTTGGTGAGAGATCTGAAGAGGCTGGGACAGCAGCAGCCATCCATCTTCATAATACCTTATCCCCACTTGCCAATATCCCTACTTTGGCCAAATTCCAGAAGACTGGACAAGCTCTAGGTCTATATTTCTTTGGCTGTGGGACTATGACATTCTGGCAGACAGCACTGTTTCTGGCTACAGTGACAATTGCAGTGAAAGCCAAGAATATCTTGACAAATTATCAGGATATCTTAAAGACAAAGAACCACAGGCACTAAATTTTGCCATGAATAAATACAACCAGGCAAATAACCAAAAAGACTCCTTCAAGGTGGTAAAGGTCATAAAAGCTCAGGAAAAGGCCCATCTACAGTTCCCTCCTCTATATTCACTTCTGCTACCAAAGTAAAGATGGGAGGAATCTTTTTCTATTGATAGTCATTGACCCTCCCCACTCCTCTGTCCCCAACTCTCTCCCATACACTCAACAAATTAATTGAGAGTTATATTCAGATGAAAAGCAACTTAATGGACTTGGTTGGAGAATAAAAATACAAAGTTCAATTCATTTGATTTTAAAATTAAGAATTAGCAAAAGATATCAAGCTGAGGGTCAGGTTAGATCTGTCGCTAGCAGGAAAGTTCTCTACTCTTTTACTAAAGGGAAGTTATAGGACTATATGGCCTCCTATATGGCCTCCCTTAGAAATACTTCTGGACTAGATTCCTTAACCCACATTTTTTCTAAGAGCCTCAAAGCTTGGACCTATTTCCCTTAGTCCACTTACACTTTCTTCCTTTCCTTCTTAGTTATTTTCTATGCACATGCCTTATGGAAAGAAAGATCAGTTTCCAGATGTACCATTTCCTTGTTGTATCTAAAACCATTCAGTCAACAGTCATTTGTTAAATATCTACTATGCCAGTCACTGTGCTGAGTACTAAGGATACAAAGGTAAAAATGAAACACTTCTCCTTCTTTATATAAGTGTTTTTACTTTTAGAAACTATAGGGAAACTGTAATGAAACTATGAAGTATATCGATAAGATGCATTTTTATTTCAAAGAAATGATGGGGAGATAGGGAGGAAGCAATAGAGTAACCCTAAACTAGCCCCTTAAGTGACTCATTATTGACTCAAGGATCAAATATATATTCCTCTGTTTGGCATTCAAAACTCTTCACAATAATTCAGAGTAAATGAATTCTCTCATTGGGAAAAAGATAACTTTACTTAACCAAGAGAGAGTTTCACATCTCACCCAAGGGGAAATTCCCCCAAGTCTCTAGTATAGTATGTTGGAGATAGAAATTGCCAGTTCCTTTACATGTTGGCTTCTTCCCATTGTTTCTCCCTCCAAAGTGCTGAAGAAAGGTTGGAAAGGCACATCTCTTGATGCTAAAATCCAGAAGGGCTTGGATCTCTCTCTTTTTCTGCCCTCATCAACTCTGCACATTCTTGATACAGGCTCAGGATATTGAGTAATCAATCTCTGTCAACAAGGAAAGAGTCCCATAAAATTGGCCCTTTGAGCCAAGTGCTACAAATTTACATATATTTTGTAGACATATATGTATGTGTTATATTTCCCTCTATAGAATGTAAGCTCCTTGAGGTTAGGGACTTTTCAGTTTTGTCTTATATCTACAATGCTTGTCACATAGGAGGTACTTAATAAATGCCTATTGATTTATTCTTCTCCTACAACACCCAACTCATTGCTTTCCTTCACTTTAAGCACATACCGTCAAGTTCCCTTGAAATTTCCTCACTAGGAGGGGTGAAAGGTGAAAAAAAAAAAGATGAAAGGTATTGAAGCCCTGCTAAGGGGAACTCCCAGGATGAAGAGTTTTATACCTCTCTCAAAGAGGCATCAAGCAGAGTACCCTAAATTGAACTCCATTTTGGACTAACATGATTACTGACTTCAACCTGGGTATCAGATGATAAATGCACCTCATTTGGTTTCTACTTTCTATCACAACTCAGCTAGCACCTTCTAAAGTCATCTAAACTCTGTGTAACAGGGTAGTAGACCAGAAAGGACACATAACTTCCTTTCTGAGTGCTCAAAATGATCTATTAAATAATCCATTTGGGGAATTTGTTCCTGGAAATATCAACTTCATTAATCTATTGTTTCTAAAATCCAAATTTCTCCCCTTTTTCTTCTTAAATAGTATTTTTTCTAATTACATGTAAAGACAATTTTTGACATTTATTTTTTAATGAAATTTTGAGTTCCAAATTTTTTCCTTTCCTCCCTCCACTCACCCCTTTCTAAGATAGTAAGCAATTTGATACAGATTATATATGTGTAGTCATATAAAACACATTTCTATATTAGTCATGTTGTGAAAGAAGAGAAAGAACAAAAGGTAAAAACTATGAAAAAATAAAGAAAGTGGAAATAGTATGCTTTGATCTACATTCAGACTCCATCAGTTCTTTCTCTGGTTGTTCCCCCCCCCCCTTTTTTTTTTTAAACTTAGATATTTGCCTGCCAAAAATCTTTCAACATTTCTCCCATTCTTCATAGTTGACATATCTGTGACAGTGGTCTGATAATTACACTGGAAAGTTCTTTACATACCTTGATATGAAATTTGCCTAAGCCAAGAGACTTGAATTCTTTTAAGGTCAGGTTCTCCCTTATAATCTCCTCACCTATCTTGGGTTTAAATTCCATGCTAAACAAGGTTATGAGAAGCAGCTTGGCATAATGGATAGAGAGAGCTGACCTCAGAGTTGGGAAAACTTGAACTCAAGTCCTATCTATGACCCACACAGGCTATATGACCCTGGGCAAATCACTTAACCTCTAGGTAACTAAGATTAAAAGATATTGACCTGAATTGCTAGAGGAAATTTTTTTCATTGGAAAGGTCCCTATAATCAATGCAGTCCTAGGTCCATTCCCTATTCTTTAATTCTATTTAATCATGTCTGACCTTTTGTTACCCTATTTGGGGTTTTCTTGACAGATATGCTGGAGTGATTTGCCTTTGCCTTCTCCAAGACATTTTACCAATGAGGAAACCGAGGCAAGCAGGGTTAAATGACTTGCCTAGGGTCACACAGATAGTGTCTGAGGCTAGATTTTAACTCAGGAATATGTCTTCCTGACTCTGGGCTCAATACCCTATCCACTGTACCACCTAGTTGTCCTGTCCCTCTTAACTATCCTTATTTCTGTTATTGTTATAGCTTTGAAGACAGTACTCTTTGATATGGAAGATTGCTGAAAATCGGGTGTTGAATAATTCCATTTTTTTTTCTTGGTTGGCTACTAAGATCAACAGCTCTGTGCAGATCCAGGCTAATTGTTTTAGATGCCTCTCTTTGTTTTCTCCTTACTGCCATGATTCAAAATTGTTTTGTTAAAATTTAACTTTTAAAAACCTCCTGTTGATGGCAAAACCAAGATATAGGAGAAAAGGCAATGATTCTCCTGAGCTCTTCCCCAAACTCCCTTGAACACCTTTACACAATGCCTTAAAACAATTTCTGGAGCAGCAGAACCCACAAAAGGATGATGTGAAATTATTTTTCGGGCAAAAACAACTTAGAAGATCAGCAGGAAATGTCTGTCATACCTGAGTGAGAGTGGAGCATAGTTCAGTACAGGCAGTACTAGCACAGACCAAGCCCTAGTAAACCAGGAGCAGCCAATGGAAAGCACTGAATCAGCAGCAGCTGCAGCTACTTCTATAGCCCACACCAGGGTTGAACAACTGATCAGAAGAAGATTACAGGGGTCTCTTTTCTGGCACCAGGGGCAGGACTCTGTTGTTTTGTCCATGCTCAGATGTGGGTCACAGTCCTGGATGGCAATCCCAGCATGAGGAGGCGCACCAGCACACCAGGGCTTGTAACCACAGCAGAGCAGGGACCCTCATCATATTTCCAGGACAGAAAAGAGTGCAGGCCAGGAGAGTAGCAAACACCTCTCCTTAGATCATACCACCTTGGAAGAACTGAAAACTTATAGGTCCCTAGAAGCAGCTCTGAAAACAGCTGCACAAAACCCCTGAAGCTTAGGAGTGTGCACTCTCTGCCTCGGAAGCAGAGACCCACTTTAATGAAGAGCTAAAAGTCAAGAAATGGACTAGAAAAATGAGCAAATAGCAGAAAAAATTCTGACCATAGAAAGTTACTATGGTGACAAGAAAAATTAAAACACAAACTCATAAGAAGATAACAAAGTCAAAGCTACAATATCCAAAACCTGCAAGAAAAAATGAAGTGGACTTAGGCCATGAAAGAGCTCAAAAAGGATTTTAAAAATCAAGTGAGGTATAGGAAAAATTTGGAAGAAAAATGAGAGTGATGCAAGAAAATCATGAAAGAAGAGTCAACAGCTTTCACACACATACACACACACACACACACACACACACACACACCTAAAGAAAATAACACCTTAAAAAACAGAATAGGCCAAATGGTAAAAGAGGTACAAAAAGCCAATGAGGAGAAGAATGCCTTAAAAAGTAGAATTCCACATAGAAAAGGAGGTACAAAAGCTCACTGAAGAAAATAATTCCTTAAAAATTAGAATGGAGCAAATGGAAGCTAATGACTTTATGAGAAATCAAGAAACAATAAAATAAAACAAAAAGAATGAAAAAATAGATGACAACATGAAAAATCTCATTGGAAAAACAACTGACCTGGAAAATAGATCCAAGAGAGGTAATTTTAAAATTACTGGACTACCTAAAAGTCATGTTTTGTGTAAATACATATATATACATATATAAAATAAAAGGCTCCCCCCAAAAACCAAACTAGATGGTATCCTTTACCTGAATCACCAGGAACAGTGATTCATTCTCATTCTTCGTTACTATTTGCCACTTAGGCTTTTAGTTTCTCAGGTAAAGCAGTCATGCCTCTGTTGTTTTCCTCTTTTTCCAATGTGGGGATGAGGTTTTTTAGTCCATATTTAACTTGATTTACAACTTTCGGATCAGGGCTTTGGCAGAGATAAGAAAGAATAATAACACCCTGATTAATTCCTGCCCAGATCTTCAATTTCTTGACATCAACATGCTCTACCAATGTTTTTGCAAAAGAACCTTCTTTTCCATTTTCTTTCCTTTTTTCATCTTGTTCTACTAACCATTTCAGAACCAGATGTCCAGTTGGATATTCTGCCATGTGGAGCTCTCCATCCTTGCCACCAGAAATCATTTCAGGAGCAGCTAATTTGGCAATGGTATTCATATCGGGCTGAATATCCACGAGACCAGATCCCAGAACATTAATAACAAATGCACATGTCAATTTGTCTGTCACCAATTTCTGGACATGCTCCTGCACGTAGCTTAACAGGATTGGGGAAATAGATTCCAAGAACTTACAGCGGATTGTACTGTCTTTCTCACTATGTGCATTTCCATCACCCCTCTGTAGAACTTCAATGATTTCAGGTACAAGGTGTGCAGGACCTCTAGGGCTTAGTAAATACAACAGAACTTTTCTTCCATATTTATTATTCACTTTATTTGGCAGGGAATTAATGACTTCTGACATAACGGTTTGTTTCAAAAGCTTAATATCATCAACACAATCAAAAGCTGCCAGCAAAACCAAATGAGAATATTCGCCATTGGCTACTTTTTCAACATAAGTCTTCATTGTTTTAATAATAACTTTTCTGTCCTTTGGTGCACCATGCCACAGACAGTCCATGGCTACTCTAGCCCTGTCATGTGTATGTGCAAGGCATATTACAGCTTCTCTGATTGCTTCAATCATTTCTGATCTGAGTTTGGGGAGTGCTTAGGTAAAAAAGTCCAAGAATGCTTTATATACCAGTGAATGTTTAATTACAGGGTTGTTGTTGTTGTTGTTGTTTTTTTTTGAGCCATTGGTGTAAGAATCTGTTTCATTTCATCCATAATAGCCTCTTGCTTATCAGGCTGTACCTCTAACACTTTTTCCAGAGTTAGGTGAATTGCAGACTTATAAAACTGGAATGTACTCCCATAGAGCTCTTCTATGAGCATATTCCGCTGTTTCAAAATCACTTTATTGTGGTAAGCATATTCCACAACTGCTAATGCTTCTACATGGCACAACATCTTCCACACTTGGCCTTTAAAACTTTTTATTATTTCTGCAATTTGTGATTTATTTCTATACATGAAAAATTTCTTAAAAACATTTCTGCAATATTTGGCCTTACTCAATTCAACCCAATTCTCTTTTAATTCTTCAAATGCCTTTTTCCTTTGTTCCTTATTACCACGTTGAATGTAACACTGAATAATACAGGTTGAATCATGTGCAAATGCAATACTTTTAATCTCGTCCTGAATCAACTTCTGTAATTTACTCATCAACTTGGTTCTTTCTTCTGTCACAATTTTTTCTTCTTAGGTATTCCAAAATTTGCTTTGCCTTGAAAATGGTGTCATAGTTGCTTTTATCTTTGAGTTGTCTGCTCTGCCTTAGTTCTTTCTTTTTCTTTTTCAAGTCATCCCACTTAGGTTTCTTAACTGCTGTCTCTTCACCTCTGCCCTCAGGTTGGAACTTTCTTTTCTTCTGCAAAATGTTTCCTTCTTGTTTATTCTTAAACTGTTTCTGGCTAGTTTTCTAGGGTAACAAGTCCCCCTCCTGTTTATTCTTTTTTTTTTTCGTTAGGCAATTGGGGTTAAGTGACTTGCCCAGGGTCACACAGCTGGTAAGTGTCAAGTGTTTGGTCTTAGGTCGAATTTGAGCTCAGGTCCTCCTGACTTCATAGCCGGTGCTCTATCCACTGCTTCACCTTGCTGCCCACTCCTCCTGTTTATTCTTGAACTGTTTTGCACCATTTTTCTTGGGTGACATGTCTCACTTTTGTTTGCTCTTCAACTGTTTTGTGCCAGTTTTCTTGGGCAACATGCCCCCCCCCCGTTTATTCTTTAGCTGTTTCAGGCCAGTTTTCTTGGGCAACACGTCTCCTTCCTGCTTATTCTTGAACTGTTTTGTACCAGTTTTCTTTGGCAACATGTCCCCTTGCTGCTTACTCTTGAATTGTTTTAGGCCTATTTTACCAAGCTTGGTGTTGTTTTTCTCAAACTTCTTGGAGCTGCATTTAGGTCCTACTCCTTTATCACCTTTACTCGGAAACTTCTTTGGAGATTTAGAATCATTGTCCTTTTTAAATCTTGTGATGTCTTTCCACCCCTTCCTGTGAATTTTTTTTTACCTTTGACTTCCATAGTAGCAATTCGCTCATGTGCCACCACCACCACTAGTACTAATTACTCTTGTTGATTAGAATTAAGCAAAGTTGTTTTCTTCAATCTCCCTCTCCCTTCTAAGAAATGTAGTTGTCTAAAAGGCAAGCCAAGAATTTATCAGATATTTTACTCCTAGAAATTTGACTTAAACAGTTGTCTGCAGGGTTGAAAGCTCTCCCTTTGCCTTCTCATACCATGTCTATACCTTACTTTTCTAACAGCTTTTAGAATTGTAAAAGAAAAGCATCATCCATATTCTCTATCTGGTCAAGCAGGTTGTATAATACTGGCACAAAATAGATCTAGAGATGAAATGGACCCCAGAGGCCATCTAGTCCAAGACTCTTGTTTTATAGATGAGGAAACTAAAGCTTAAAAAAGTCTAGTGTCTTGCCTGAGATCATACAACTAATAAGTAGCAGAGCTGGAATTTGAATGTAGATTTTCTTACTTCATATCCAGTGCTTTCCCCACCTCAGCACAGTGCATTAATATTTCTATTTCTCTCTGTTTTTATCTTCACTCAATTTCTCTTCCTCATGCTCCCAGTTTTATATTCATGACTTTCTTATAAATGTTTTTATATACACCACTACTCTGTCATGCCTTCTATTAAAAAAATAGCTTTGCTTTGTTCTATTTGCACAAGGCACGTGTTAAACTAATTAGTGAAACCTTGATTTAGTTGGAAAAGTTGTGGAAGAGACTGTTTTCAGTGTAAATTTTGTAGAAAAGGCCCCATTGGGCCCCCATGAGACATATGCCCCACCAATGTTTCCCCTATAGCACTTAACAATTTGACATATTTGACTTTTCCACTATGAAGTAGGCCTAAAGACTTTGAAGACCTAAAACTACAATAGGATACTTTTATTTTTAATCTAACTGTAATTTCTCATTAACAGAATATGAGTAGCTTATATTATTTTATTACTCTCAAGATTGGTCTTACCATTTGCAAAAAGCCTGTTATTGACCTTGAAAACTGTCCCCTCCAAGAAAAGTCTAAGAGGAAAATGTTATGTGACTGAAACCAGATAAAGGGATGCTTTTAATGGATGAGTTCTCTTGGTTTTTTGACTATGAAAAGCTGTTGTCTGTGTACACTACCCTATTCTCCAACTGGAAATTTACCTGATGTAATGCTAAATGATTTTAAGATATCTTTCCCATCCAAGGGAGAAAAGGGCTGCTTTTAATCAGCCATAGATTTACAAAGTGGAGGCATGGGGAGCCTGTCCTTTGTTTCTCTCTTTTTCTGAAGGGCTCTGGGGAGAGGTTTACTTTCCTCTTCTCTCACATTCTCCCCTCCCTTCCTCCCACTCACCTCATTCACTCATTTTTAAGGGAGGGCTTTATAATTGTCTGCTGAGAAGGTGTAATTCTGTCCTCAGGTGGATATGTTCAGCATCATCTGACCATCCCCTACTTATCGTTTTGGGGAGCCCAGAAAAGTGTCTCTGTACTCTCAGTCCAGGGACTATAAGGGGAAAGATGGTTGAGGACAGAGATGCCATCCCCAGCGGGGTACCTCGATATGCAATTATAATTGGCTCCACTCTGAAGTCGAGCTATGCAGTGGGAGGAAGAGGCTAAAACCCCTGCAGTGCAGCTGCTCCCACCCTCCCAAACTTTAGCTTTGCTGGAGGTAGCAATTTCTAGCAGGCAGAGTTTAGAGCTGCTAACTCCATGTTACACAGTCTAAATAATTCCTGGGTGAATTCCTTTTGAGAAAATAAAAGCATAACCCCCAAATTACCGAGATTGGTTGAAGTGGGTGGTAATTTGCAAAGGCTACCACTAATTAATAGGTGATTCAAACCCAGGCTCCGGAGAGGAAAGTCACTATAGCAAAACTAGGCAATGACAACCTTGAATCATGGTCTCATCTTAATATGTACCAAAGAGTAGTTGTTGTTTTCTCCCTCTGTCTTTTCCCCTCAACACACTGATTGTTCTTTTTCCTTCCAATAGCTGATCCTGTGCTCCTTTGAAGTGTCTGCTGTTCCTTGATTAAACCAGTACACCAGTACACCTTCCTGAAAACTGACTGCAACAGTTCTCAAGTGGGCTTCCACACATATTTGCAGTCCCAGTAGCACTGGTTCCTTATTAAAAGATCAATAATGTAGGACATTAATATACAGTTGATAGAATTGTAAACTGATCCAACCATTTTGGAGAGCAATCTGGGATTATGCCCAAAGAATTATAAAACTGTGTATACTTTTTGACCCAGCAATACCACTATTAGATCTGTTTCCCAAGGCGAGCAGGACAAAAAGAAAAGAGTCTATATATTCTAAAATATTTACAGCAATATTTTTGTGGTGGTAAAGAACTAGAATTTGAGGGGATGTCCATCAACAGGGGAAGGGCCAAATAAGTTATGGTATATGGTTATGATGGAATAATACTGTGCTATAAGAAATGATGAGCTGATTTATTTTAGAAAAAATGGAAAGATTTGCATGAAATAATGAAGAGTAAAATGAGCAAAACCAAAAGAAAGTTGCATATAATAACAGCAACATTGTTCAAACGAGAACTGTGAACAACTAGGTTATTTTGAGAAATACTCAAATCAACTACAAAGGACCCATGAAGGAACCTCCAGAGAAAGACCTGATAAATAGATGTATAGTATGTATGTATGTATGTATATATGTACATATGCATGTATGTATGTATTATATACACACACGCACCTGTGTCTAATGGTGGCCTTCTTTAGTGCAAAGTGGAGAGGGAAGGAGAAAAAAAGTGCACAGCAGAGAACAAAACAAAAAAGCAACTTAGAAGAAAGCACAGAAAAGCAGGGTAGCTTTGAAAATGATGTGTAGTATTTGTTACACAGTTTTTCAAAAAAGTTTTTAAAAAATGGAGATTCATGGTTTTATATTGAATCCTCTTTTTGTATTGTGTTGTGTATATGGAAATGGTTTTTTGTCTTTTTTATTTAAGTTCAAAATGAATAAAAATATTTTTAAAAATTCTTGGTTAAAAAATTATGAACTTAATCATCAATAAACACAAAATATTTCAATACACAAAGGAAAAAAGATCAATAATGAAGGCAATATAAATAATTGATCCATTTGTCTTATTACTTCTTAACCCTGATTTATCTTTATCATGCTACACAGGACAATTATGAAATTTCTTCTGATTAATCTAGAATATCACTTTCCCAATAAAAAAGTACCTACTAGGTACCCTGGGAGTACTTGCAATCTCTTCCATCAAGGCCCTAGGGACAATGCTCCTGTCTTCACTTAAGCTGATCCCTGGGCTCCTGGCTATACTTGGGATGTCAGTTGGCTGGCTAGGTCAGTCAACAAGTCATTTATTGGCATTTATTATTTTGCAGGCACATTGCTAAGTGTAGATGATGAAAAGAAAGGTTAAAACAATAGCTGCCTTTCAGGACATTATATTATTTTTTTAAATTAATTTATTTTGAATTATCGACAATCACTTCCATAAGCTTTTGAGTTTTTAATTTTTCTCCCCCTACCTCCCCACCTCCCTCCCTAAGATGGCGTGCAATCTGATATAGGCTATATATATACATTCCTATTAAACATATTTTCACATTAGTGATGTTGTGAGAATTAGAAGCAATATGAGAAACCACCAGAAAGAGGAAACAAAACACAGTAGAAGAAAAATAATAGCAAATAGTATGCTTCGATCTGCATTCAAACTCCATAGTTCTTTCCTCGGATGTGGATAGCATTTTCCATTGTGAGGCCTTTGGAGATGCAGGACATTACATTCTAACAGGAGAGATAACATGTAAATAAATAGATACATGAATGATATATGCAGAGTAGGTAATCAGAGTACAGCAAACTGCAGCCCATAGGCTAGATAATGTCTGGTTTTTTGTTTTTTTTGTTTTTTGTAGACCACAAGGTAAGAATGGGATGGAACTCTGTAGAGCAAACTGAGGTAGTCTAGAAAATGGGAGTCTATAATTAAAGGAGGTACTGAGATGTGTATGAGTGTAAGCCATAAGGCAAAAGCAGAAAAATTATCAGGGAACACCAAGATTTCTGCTGAATCACTACTAGGTCTATTTCCAAAGGTGATTAGAGAAAAAGGAAAAGAACCTATATGTTCTAAAATATTTACAGCAGCTCTCCTTGTGATGGTAAGAATTTCTTGTAATTCATCAAAAACAATGCAGGCCACCAATGTCCTTTGGAAATGGGCATTTAAATATATATATATATATACATATATATTTATATATACGTATATATATATTTATATATATGTATATATATATTTATATATATATGTGTGTGTATACACACACACACACACATACATGGATGAGAAAATGTAGAACCCTTGGTCGATTCACCATTGAAAGTTTGCAATGTATAGGAATCTCAGTACCACCTGGATGTTGGTAGGCCATAGTGCACATTCAGAAATAGCAGTTCCCTCAGGGCCCCACCTTTAGTATGTGAAAGGAGATATAATATAGCTGAAAAATTCAGGTTTTTCTCAGCAAACATACAGTTGTCTAATTTTATGTAGAGACAGTATTCTCAGAAGCATTTGAGGATTAAACAAACATGGGTATGCTCTGCCAGTTTCATGGATGAGATCAAGATGCTCTCTAGCTAGGCAACCACAAAATGACTGGGAAATCCTGAAGCATGCTGTTAAAATTTATTGAACGGTGTTGCCACAGATTGAAAATACTGTACCAGGTTTTACAGGGCTACTTTCATTTTGAGCTCATCTAGACCCTGAATTTTCCAGTTAACCTAAGCATCCCATGGTCAGTCTATACCCACAATCTGACCATTGAATGGAAACAGAACGTGGTCCTTCATGATTCAAAGTCATTTACCCATAAATAAAAGACAAATGGTTCAGAGAAAGTGGCCCTAAAATAGAAAGTCTGAGATACAAAAGCAAGGATCCATCAGTTCCTTCTACCAAAGGTCATCCTGTGTTTT